TCATTTCTTTAGCGCATCTGACTTTTAGACAATTAATTTCAAGACTGGCTTTAGGGAGTTAGTCATTTACCCAGAAAGAATAAACCCTAAGTAAACCCTAAGGTAGTTTTAGTGTTTTTGATATGTTTTTAAATAAAATGAGTCTAAATCAAGTTTTAATCACTTTCTTGTTTTATTCCTCTAATAAGGAGGAATAAATGCTTAATTTCTTGTTTTATTCCTCTATTAAGCCACACTTGAATTTATAGGAAAATTTAAATATGTACATTTCAGCCTTTGGATTTCTGTAACTATTTTTTTTTCAGAGATTACGGAATTAAAAAATGATTTGGGGGCAGGGGTAGGAAGGGCCTTTAAAAACAGATAATTAGATTTGTTTTAGGTGGCTTAGATTTGGTTTATTAAAGGTAAAATAATAGACTAAATAATATTTCTTGTCTTTTTCATGAGTAAGAGTTTATGGTGGAGGAGGCTGCTTTATGAGGAAGAGGTAGCCATCATCTCACTGTAGTGCTGTTTTTGTGAGGGTATATACTGCTGTCATATAGCAAGAGCCACACTGACATAAATCTATTGCAGTAAATTTCCATCTTGATTTGGTCAGAGCAACATGTTCTTATCTATTATGTGGGCTAATACACTTTAATTATTTTTTCTTTTGGTACTAACACATTGAGAAGTGGTTAGCTTTTATTCTTTTTCATTGTGCTTCCCATTGACTTAAGGTCCATTAATTTAAACTTAGTGTTGTGTGTAATGCAGGCTGGCAACATGCCCAGGGGTCTTCATTGGGTTCTCAGTACCTTTGACTCCACCTTGATTCTGCAGGGTCATAGAAAAACATGGTTGACAGTAATTTAACTTTATAATCTGTTATTTTTTGGCAGGGGGAGGGGATGTCTGGTCTTGGTGACCTATTTTAATCAGAGATCTTTGTGAAGGTTTGGAAAATCTAGCCCCTGCTTGGGATCCCAATGTGATTCTAATTATAGAACTAGTTTCCTTGAAAGGTAAATTTTCTGAGATAACCTAAGCTGACTGTTGCCTCAGTTTCCCTACTCCTGAGAAAGAGGAGTACACGTTTTCCACTTGCAATATATACTGATTCTGTGACACCCAATAGAGAACTAGTAGGAGAGTTAGAAAGATTTGTAGGAGAGGCTGGGCATGGTGGCTCACGCTTGGAATCCTAGCACTTTGGGAGGCCAAGGTGGGTGGATCACTTGAGATCAGGAGTTTGAGACCAACCTGGCCAACGTGGTAAAACCCTGTCTCTACTAAAAATGCAAAAATTAGCCAGATGAGATGACCAGCGTCTGTAATCCCAGCTACTCGGGAGGCTGAGGCATGAGAATTGCCTGAACTAGGGGGCGGAGATTGCAGTGAGCCGAGATTATGCCACTGCACTCCAGCCTGGGTAACAGAGTGAGACTCTGTCTC